AGAAGGGTGTGATTACTTTTGTAAAGCCCCCAAAGCCCTCTGTGTTCATGCAGTGCTTGTGTTTCCAAAGTACTTTCATAAGCACCGTCTTCAGGAGCTGTTACCAAGCGTCTCCTCTGCCATGCATCTCACTAGAAGCAGCGCACCGCTATTCTAGTTCTGACAGTTTCTCTTGTGTTGTTTGCTAATAAAAAAGTCTGTGATGTTTAAATAGCCCCAAGTCCCGACCGAAAGTAAGCACAACTAAACTGGAAACAGATACACTATGAATGCAGGAACACTATATTTATTAAGTCAATAATTCATTTTTAGCAATACAAGTACAGAATATATCACAATGCTGGTTACAAACATACTTAGTATGGTTTAATGGTTACAAATAATGGTGGGTACTACAAGTTTGTGATAAGGGTGATATGAAAGGTCATTCTGACACAATGAAGAATTGTCTTTAAAAAAAATCCGTCAATGACCTTAGATATTTCTATAGAAATTACTGTGGCACTATTAGTGGGGATTTTCATGTAGAGAATTGATAGTGATTTGCTTTTGTTTCAGTAAGAGCTTTTTGAGTCTATTAAACTAAAATCCCCGGTTGCTTAATAAAGTATAAAAATAGTACTGACCTGGTAATATTTAATAAAACATAGCATTCATTCACATCATAAAAGTAGAACTAAAGTGAAAAGTTCTTAGTTACCATGGCAACAGATCTTCCCATAAAAGTAATCTACAGAAATGAGTAATGTTACACAAATGGTACCTGCAAAGTTATTTAGTGATCCAACACTTGTGCACCACAAACCAAGTTTTCTAGATATCTATATATAGCATATATTTTTAATCTTAAATTTTACTTTAAAAAAAATGTGCACTTCAACAAACTCACTAAGGCCACTCATGCTATAGATGCCTAGGATTGCAATTAAAGAACAGCATTATTTTAACAAATCCTCAAGCACACTCCTTCAGGTCACCAACAGGGTAAAACCAGTTTTCTGCCTAAAACATTCCTGAGATTTGTGGACAACTACTAATGTTCAAGCTGGAGATGAATTAAAATGTCAGACTGAAAAAAAAAAAAAAGGAATTTTCTAGCAAGAACTGAGGTCCTCCAAGAGGTGAAATATATATGCTAATTCTTAGAGCAAAAATAAAAGTCTTAGAGACGCTTTTACTTATAAATATTTTTCCAGTAGTAACTTTGCCATCCAGAAAAAGAACAGTTTGGAAGTAGCCAGGCTACAGATTCAGGGGAAAAAGAAGGTAGAGTGACAGTTTAATACAGGTATCCTCCTCTTTCTGAAAGTTCACTTTATGCTAGTTTGCTTTTATCAAAGACCTGCAATAGCGCCTGTTTTTACCAATCGAAAACAGATCCAAAAAGGAGCGTCACTTTCACGAAAAGAGGTGAAAAGCAAAACTGGCATTCAGCGTCTGTCTGCACACAGCTGTTAGGAGGCAGCGGCAAAAAGCAGCAGGAGCAGCACCGCCACGCTCCTCTCCTGGAATGACGCTCGGCATCGCAGCTTCAAGCTGCCACAGCTTTACCTGTGCGGGCTTCTGTGCTTTATCCCAATTTATTTTGCGCATCTATTAGCAAGACGTGCCCTAGGCTAATTGCCACCCTGCTGTTCACCTGTTTTGGCTGAAAGAGGTTTCATGGGGACACTCCTTTTGGACAGCGGGGAAAGACTGCTGTCCCTGCTGCTACTTAGCAAACCATTCTTTTCATCTGTAAAGTACGGTCCAAAGTTCCACTCATGTTCTAGGCATGTGTTTGCTGTTGAGCATTCTGTCTGCCCTGTCAGGAGCAGCCAAATGGCACGCTATTTATAAGATTGCAGCTGCTTGATCTAGTTTTCTCAAAATTATGAACTTTTCTCTAACAGGCTAAGAGTGTTGCAAAGGCCTTTGTCCAATCTTTCATTTTCACAAAACAAGGCACACCTGCACGGGGGCTATTCCAAAGCAATACCAGCTGTCCGTGCTGGACAGAGACAGCTCTGATAACGGTAAGGGTCCTAATGCTTTGAGCAAAGTCAGCTTTGGCGACCCATAAAAATTATGGTCTCAAAAACCCCCAACTGGCTCTCTGAAACGAAACAAAGGAGTGGCTGACCACCTGTGTGGCACAGGAGTGTTACGGCTCCCTGATGCACCCAACTTGAGTAGCACCAAACTTCAGGGAAAAAACCGAGTACAAGAGAGAACAAGGACAGCAGAGGAGGAGACCAAAGGCCTCTTATTTAAAATTACTTTGCTGAACTGCCAGAAAAGTCTTTTAAGCTGGTCTATGCTTTCTTATACATAACCCCGCCATATACGAAAAATTTGTTCAAGCAATTGGTTATTGTGAGTAAATTTTACTCTGAGACTTTTTTCCCCTACCCCCATAAATCATGATGATATTCACCTCCCTAACTTATCCTAAACATTCCAACTAGAAGGATAAAACCCACACTTAAAATTATTAGGGTATTATTCTTCATTAGAACAAGAAATAATAGCATATTAAGTTATATCGCTATCAGAAACTGGCAATCTCTTTTCTCAATCTAGTGTGTCTGCATTAAGTATATGGATTTACAGAAAACTACATTAAAACAGTGGCAATACGGCAAACTATCAGCAATGATTTTTTTTTTAAAGAAAAACTGGCTGCCATTTAACATTATCACCCTGTGATCCTAGGCTTCTAAATATCATGTTGCTTTATCACTGAGTGTTATCTGAGTTCAAACTGAATTAGAGAAGATGAGGCCTTAAGTCATTTGCTGGATTTTATCCTAGGAAATGCTGTATATGCACAAAACCAAAAATACAGATTTAAAAAAAAAAAAACTTCATATGAAAACATAAGTTTCAAAATATTTATTGAAAAACAATTTACCATGACATTCCTATACCACAAACATACCACAGGACTCTAAATAACCAACAAAAGTATACAAAGCCTATCCTTAAAAATCTTTGGAGGTATTAAATATATAGGCCCATGAGGATAGAGCTGAGTAACTTAAAAATGTTAGTCCTTGGTCACACAGACTATTTGGTAATTAATAAAGAGCTGCCTCTTGGCATTAGATTGCAATTAACTGGGAGGGGGAGGTGCAGGTGTGCCAATGTGCTCTTTTCAATTAAAAATAATTCAGTATAAGGATTACACCCAGGTTTTGAAATCACACAGCTATCATCTTAAAGACATCTGGGCTTGTTTCATTTCTTCTACCTCCCCTAGGGAATCCCCTCCTGGGGACTTAAAAACAGTAGGATCATAACTAACAAGATGGCAAATAATAGCCTTCAACAAGGTTATATTTGGGAAGGTCAAAAAAGTGTTTAAAATCGAACTGATCTGAAATTTCCAATTACTTTTTCTGCACTCCAAGTGGTGGACAGTTTACATTTTTCCCCCTCCCATCCCAACACACCTGTTAAAAGAAAACCCAAATTTAGCACACATCCACTCACCCACAGACCACTCCAAGCATTAGCCAGGAGCAACAACTCTTAACAGCCAAGTCATGAACCCCTGAAAATAGGGGGGAAAACCCTGATTCTTACTATAGAGGCACCAAACAGGCCACTATAATAAGAACTGAGGTAACGGCAACAGACCTTTTTTGTTTCTTGAATTGCTACATGTTACAACTTCTCAAATTTGAATATTACCTCAACATTAAATAACTTGACTGGCTTAAATGAAAAATCAAAACCCAATAAACAGAAAGATGAGTTAGTGAAATAGATATATCATTAGGGGAAATCTTTACATGTGACTCTTGAATTTCATATAAAATGATCTACTGTTTGCAATATTGTTTTTATCATAAACATGAAGGATTTCTTAAGAATTGCTTATTTGGCGGCATTTGTTCTTCCATTAATCCCCATAAACCAAACATTAACCTAAAATTCCCATCTGGACATGAGCTATTTCATGACTCAGCCAATATACTCACAAACTGCGTTATTAGGGTAGCATTTAAAACGAGAGGGGTGGCTGCAGCAGGTATTTATAGACTTGTTTAGGGCATTGCCATCTGGGTACCTTGACTAAAGATATGCCACTGAAATTGCCAAATTTCCCTAATTTGGTGACTATTACATGAATACAATTTTGTATTATCAGTTTTCATAGTACATCTAAATGAAAATCATTCTACAATAAAAGTAAAAGCAGGGGCTAAAACAATCACCTAAAACCTCTGGTCCAAATAACCCCTTTCTACATTAGGCTGGTCCTTTTCAGATCCTCCTGGTCCTGTGAGCAAAAGCTATCAGAGCATCTTGCCTTTTTGTACCCCCAAAAAACACAACAAAACCAAAAAAACCAAAGAATTAAAATTGCTGGTTTATCAGCTTTTCTATTACTTACAGGTCAACACTGGTCCAGTTCAGATGACTCTGACAGTCCTTCCCCCTTGTCATACAGCCCTGGAGTGGCTGTATCCATTTTTCTAGGTAAGGTAGCCAAACCTAAGTCAGGATGTCCCTCTGCTATTAGTACTTGTGTTAACTTTTCTATACTGTGTATAAAATTTTCCCCATAAAATTTCTTTACAGTACAGTATTGAATACCTCCTCAAGGAAGAATTATATGTTAAAAAGTTGTTAAAATCATCCTTACATAATAAGAATGCAACTCTTTTAAACTCTTAAATAGTTTTATTTAGGGGTTCTTTTTTTCTTTCAGGCTTTCTGCAAAATGAATTACTTTTTTTTAAAAAACAAAAACAAAAAAATTCCTGTTGTTTGTTCTACGAGGTTGAAAATATGGGCCAGACTACTTATACATGCGGTACATGCTGAATATAACTGAATATATGCTTATTCCTACGGACACTCTGCAAGAAAGGGATCACCCAAATAGGGTCAAAGGACTGGACCAGTGTTTCAATGCAAATTCCAGCCCCAAAAAACAACATGGTTTTGATTTCACAGTATGAATTCCCTGGAATCTGGGAAAAGGTAAGTTAGTTAACTGAGGTCCTCCCTCAGCAGCTGGGTCCCTCGACATTCTGAGCAATCAGGAAGGACTGCACCACTTCTTCAGTGGACTGGGGGCTGGTGTTGACGTCTTCAAGAGCATCGGTCACGGAATACTGCCGATCTCGTAACCGGTTCCAGTTAGATAGAACATTGTGATACTCAAACACTTTCTCATAATTTCCAATGGAGTTGTAAAGTTTAATGAGACCTCGGTAATCATATTCCAGTCCACTGTAGCCTTCACCGAAAAGTTTCTTCCCTGAAAGTAAACAGAAAAAGAAAGGAAGCTCAAATAATGAAATAAAGTAGTTTCTACAACACAAGCTTAGTTCTTTAAAATAGGGCGTCTTTGTTTTATTCCTTTTCAAAGGAATAGATTCAATTAAAATTTTTTATTGGAATACAGTTGCTTTACAATATTGTGTTAGTTTCTTGCTACATAGCACAGGGAATCGTCACACATACGTATGTACATGTGTCCCACCCTTCGTTAGATTCCCTCCCCACTGAGGTCACCACAGAACGTCGAGGAGAGCTCCCCGTGGTGGTCAGTGGGTCCTCACTGGTTATCTGTTTTACACTCAGAAGTGTGCTGATGTCAGTCCCAGACTCCCAATCATCCCACCCTCCAGCCGGAACACAGTCAATTCTTCTATCAGTGTTTACCGACACAGTCTTACCCACAGACTACTTCTAAGACTTAAAAAAAAATTCTTGTCTAAGGTCACTGGTCTCTGTAGAATAAAATTGTATAAGTTCATAGTCTGAAGAGAGTTCATAAAGAGCTCACAGCTCATTTACAGGGCATACTGTTTTTAAAAAAGCAAAGTACCTGGAGTATGCCACCTTTTATGTAAAATAAAATATTTATGTCTGTGAACATTTATGCCAAAAGATATACAGAGGAATGATGCTGGTGGTTCAGTGGTTAAGAATCCACCTGCCAATGCAGGGAACACAGGTTCGCTCTCTGGTCTGGGAGGACCCCACATGCCTTGGGGCAACTAAGCCAGTGAGCCCCCACCACCCCACGGAGTCCAAGCTCTAGAGCTGAGAGGCACAACTACCGAGCCCACGGGCCACAACTACTGAAGCCTGCACGCCGAGCCCACGCTCAGCGACGAGGAGCCCGCGCACAGCAGCAAGACCCAGCACGGCCAGAAATAAAAAACAAAAACAAAAACAAAAACCACAGGAAAAATAGATGAGAAACTGACAAGGCCTGTTACTCATAGCAATGAGTGGCGAGGAGAAATTAAGGGCAGCCACACACCTGTGAGAAGACCGTTCTATATAGTTGACCTTTTTTTTTGGTCATGTCATGTGGCTTGTGGGATCTTAGTTCCCTAGCCAGAGATTGAACGCAGGCCCTCAGCAGGGACAGTGAGGAGTTTTAACCACTGGACTGCCAGGGAACTCCACAGTTCTGACTTTCTAGAGTATTAATATTTCACAGTCAAATAATCTAGCAGACTAAATAAAAACAGGGAATGTTATACAAACATAAACAAATGAACCTAGTTCTCTCGTAAATGAGTAACTCGCTGATAGCAGGGGGCAGGGAGATGAGCAACCTATGAATTCTGAACACAGTATTCTGACTATATACCTTCAGGTTAAGGGCAAGGTCAACTGGAAATGAACGTGAAGCTCTAAGCAGTAACTTTGGTTTTCACAGTACTATGGGTTAGCAATTCTAAAACTACTTTACGTATACTGTAGGGTTAAGCAAGATAATCTATTGTGGATAATGAGGAATCTTCACACACACGGATATATGATTTGAGGCAAGGGAGCAAAGCAGAGGGGGAAGACAGTGTTTTGAAAAATGGTCCTGGTCAACTGACATCCATACAGAAGGGAAAAAGGGAGAGGGGAACAAATTTGATCGCTACCTCACAAATTTCCAGAAGATAATCTTCCTAAAGAGTATCTTCTGACTTTGGGGTAGAAAAAGATTTCCAAAACACAATTTAAAAAGTGTCAACCAAAAAAAAAAAAAAAAAGTGTCAACCATAAAATAAAAAAGCAATATTTGATTATATTAAACTTTAAGAATTTCTGTTCTTTGAAAGGCACCATTAAGAAACAAGCAGTAGAAGGACAGTTATCTGCAACACATTTAACTAACAAAGGGCTTATTACATCTAAAGTATATAAAGAACTTCCATAAACCAAGAAGAAAGTGACAGACAAATTCAATAAAAACATGGGAAGAGTTTTAACAGGCACAACATTAGATGATGACCACAGTATCTTATTTTGTGATAGGTCTGAACAGAAAACAATTCAAATGTTCTGAATATCAACTAACAGTTGAATGGATAAATAATGACATATTAATTCAATACAATATTACATGGCACTGGAAATTAACAAGCAACAGAAAAATGAACAACACTGATGTATTTAACAATTGATGTTCACCAAAAGAAACAAAGCATATAAAAATATACATTGTATGATTTCATTTATATCAAGTTCTAAAACAGGTAAACTTGGTCTATGTTAAAATCAGGAGAAAGGTGAGGATGGGCTAGAGGTAGTGTTTACACAAATATTTAAAAATAATTATTTTTGCCTTTACTTGACACACGACTGTCGTATTTCTTATTACTGGCTTCAATTATCAATAAACAATCTTTAGCAAAATGTTTTAGAAGACTTCTGAGTGGCTCCTGGAGATCCTGAGCAGCTCTAAACCCATTTAAGTCTTAATAACAACACTTCCCTATACAACATATAACACATGTTGATCTCTTATCAATTAAAACAATTTTAAAATAACATACCAATTGCTATAGATCGCAAATAAAGTTTCTCGGCATTTTCATACTGATTCATGTCATAATTATATAAAGAAGCCAGATGTCCCACTGAAAGGGCTACTTCATAATCTTCTTGACCAAGAAGTTGTTCTTTAATCTGAATTGCTTTGATGTGCATTTCTTCAGCTTCCTGAAAAATAATCAAGCTGTATTAACCATTAGGTTATACTTTTTACTATGTCAACAACTCTTATCCAATTAGTAACATTCTTCTAGATGTCAAAAACAGCTTATGGATGGCATAAGGTAATCTGGTCAGAGAAGACACTACACAATTCCAAAAGCTGCCTACAGGAAGCATCACTGGCTTGGGGAAGCTATCTATGCACATAAGCTGACGAAACACTGAAATACACCAAAATGACAAGAGAAAACGTGTCCTTGTAATAAAAAGCTGTTAGAAGAAATTAACGTCAAAATATTCTAAAATGAAAACTTCTTTCAATTTCACACACTCCAAAATTTAATTGAACTGTGTTAAGAAATTCTATACTATATTATTTTACACAGAAGTATACTTTACTATTTCATTTTTTTTTTGAGTTTTGACAATTTTTATCACAATAAACAGGTTAACTGAGGAATGTGTAAACTGATTTTCAGATAAAAATGAATGTCTTAGATAGCAACTCTCATTCCTTTCTTATTGTGACCCTATAATGAGCAATAATAAGAATTTATAACCCAAAATTCTAAAAGGGAACTAAATTCAGTACATTTTTAACACTACAATTATAGAATACTTGCATTATCTTACATTTCTTGCACACCTAACTATGTGTCAGGCATTCAGCTAAGTGTTCAATTTAAACTATTAGCTAAGAGCTATGTTTTAAGTCTGATATATATATTTTTCTATGGTCTGTATTTTTGAATTTTATTTATATTTTGACTGTTGTTTTATACTAGCTATTTTCTCAATTCTTATGTGAAATAATGTGGAAGTATAATAAATGTATACTTTATAATTTAAGATTACTGAAGAAGCATTACTTAAGATTTATTATTCACACTGTACTTTATTACCTAAGATTACATAGACAGAAAAATGCAGTAAAATGTGCTTCTACCTTAAATTTCCTCATTGACTGATAAAGTCTTCCAAGGTTTCCATAGTGTTTTGCAGTCTGTACATTAAATTCTCCAAAAGCTTTTTTAGCTAGTTGGAGTGAAGACAGATGCAAATCATGAGCTTCTTGAAGCAGCCTCTGTTCAGTTTCTTTATTATGACAGTCAATAGCAATCTCCTCTAAAATAAGTGCTAAATAAGAAGGCAATAAAATCAGTGCACTTTCAAACCATGTATCAAAGCTCATCAGAACATACACTTTAGAATTAAATTTTATAAATGTTACTTGTATATACTTATATATGTTTATATCTGTTTATTCTAAACAGAACCATAAACCATTTAACATACCAAAGAGCTGGTAAAGATGAGCATATTCCATTTTAATGGAAAAAAAAAAAAACACTTTTGGGGTCATTCTATTTTGCATAGTATAATGGTTTTCAAATGTAAGAAAAACAACAGTATACAACAAATTATTTTGCAGATTTACTCTTTTCCCAGATCAGTTTGCTTTGCTGATGTGAAACTGTTTTTTAAGCAAACAGAAGACAGATAAGAATGAAGATACAAATTTTTTAAAGTTGTGAAAGTGTGTCAAGGACTACCTAACCACTCCTGAAAACTGTGAAGCCATATTCTGCAAACTATATAACCTTTAACCAAGCAGAAGTAAAAGAACGGGTTTCCTCCTAACTCACTTGACCAGTCAAATCAGGTAAGAAGATAATTTAACTTCAAAGTCCTATTTGAGACCCTCAAACTCCATTTAAAGTCTTACAAATACAAATTCTTTAACCAGGCAATTTTACTGCTAGGAAAACTGCCCATGTGCACAAAACTAAGAGATTTAGTTCACTGTAGCATTTTTAAAGAACAAAAGGTTAAAAAAATTTAGAGGTCCAATAAGACAGGTGCAGTTAAAAACATTAGGAAAAAAGGATATATACCTACATGTATTGAAATGAGAAAATATTTGTACTATACTGAGTGAACAAAGCAGATTACAGAAGTAAAAAAAAATTATTCACTCATTTCAGTCTTCGAAGAAAGAAAAGTCAAAAAAAAATATTTGCCCACATGTTGATTCTGGATTGATGAGATTTCAAGTTAACTTAATTTTTTCTCTTTTAATTCTTGATATTAATCATGTATTACTTGCATGACTTCAAAAATGCAAACCTAGAGGGGAGGTAAAGCCTAGTTCCAGAAATAAGGTAAAAGTTATTCATCATGCACGGAATTACCACATGGGTGACCCAATGTCAGCAAAATGAAAGGCCCTTGGTAGGGACTGCAGAAGAGTTAAAAAGTAAGTAAGAAAGTGCTATGTGGTAAGAACCTTGCAACATTAAAGGTAACCTGATATTGAAACTGAGTTTCAGAATCTTGTACAATAAAGGTGAAGGTATGTGAAAACCCATCTTCAGTGTCACTGTGATTCTTCAGTCCTCCCCTCAAAAGAAAGGAATGAAGGAAGGAAAGGAAAGAGAAAGGAAGGAAGGAAGGAAGGTATTCTAGCCTATTAACTATGTTGTATGAGAGAAGGAAACTTCATTACGAGCCACTGGAAATTCTGAGAGATGTTGGCAAATATGTTACATCAGTGACTGGCTGTTTCAGTAATATACAGTCTAATTCTGAGGAAATAAACAAATATTCCTATTTTATACCACATACCATCAATTTAAAAATGTCAGAGAGTAGACATCTATTATAACTGACAGCTAAAGAAATCTTAAAATACATCTATTTATCTATCTATAGGAGACTAGATTACAAAGGGTACCTTTCACCCTCTTTGAAGAAGCCAAAAGAAGATGATCTTCAGGTAGGATGTGGGTAATGATACCAATAGCTCTTTCTGCATGAAACCTGCAATACACAAGATAAATTCTGGCATCTCTTTTATGTTACAAATAATTTAGGCATTAAAAAAACCCATAATTTATAACATAATACTGGTAGAATTTCTAAAACTAGCTGTGGTGAAGGACAAGTTTTTTGCTTTAACATTCCAATCTTTTTGCTCAACATCACTCATTATCAGAGAAATGCAAATCAAAACCACAATGAGGTACCATTACACACCAGTCAGGATGGCTGCTATCCAAAAGTCTACAAGCAATAAATGCTGGAGAGGGTGTGGAGAAAAGGGAACCCTCTTACATTGTTGGTGGGAATGCAAATTAGTACAGCCACTATGGAAAACAGTGTGGAGATTTCTTAAAAAGCTGGAAATAGAACTGCCATATGACCCAGCAATCCCACTTCTGGGCATACACACCGAGGAAACCAGATCTGAAAGAGACACGTGCACCCCAATGTTCATCGCAGCACTGTTTATAATAGCCAGGACATGGAAGCAACCTAGATGCCCATCAGCAGACGAATGGATGAGGAAGCTGTGGTACATATATACCATGGAATATTACTCAGCCATTAAAAAGAATTCATTTGAATCAGTTCTAATGAGATGGATGAAACTGGAGCCCATTATACAGAGTGAAGTAAGCCAGAAAGATAAAGACCATTACAGTATACTAACACATATATATGGAATTTAGAAAGATGGTACCGATAACCCTATGTGCAAAACAGAAAAAGAGACTCCTATGTATAGAACAGACTTGTGGACTCTGGGAGAAGGCGAGGGTGGGATGTTTCAAGAGAACAGCATCGAAACACGTATATTATCTAGGGGGAAACAGATCACCAGCCCAGGTTGGGTGCATGAGACAAGTGCTCGGGCCTGGTGCACTGGGAAGACCCAGAGGGATCGGGTGGAGAGGGAGGTGGGACGGGGGACCGGGATGGGGAATACATGTAAATCCATGGCTAATTCATTTCACTGTATGACAAAAACCACTGCGATGATGTAAAGTAATTAGCCTCCAACTAATAAAAATAAATGAAAAAATAAATAAATAAAAAAATAAATAAATAAATAAATAAATAAATAAAAAAAGAATAAAATGGAATTTCCTAGCAAAAAAAAAAAAAAATTCCAATCTTTTGTACACTGAGTTTCTTTCCCCCCTTAATTTATTTTTATTTGAAGGATAATTAAATGAACATTTAAACAGCCAGTGGATTCCCATCTATCTCCCTCATAACCAACTGTGAAATTACTATCATGGCCTACAAGGCTTAATGCAATATGATCTTTCACTGGGCTACCTCTCTGACCACATCTCCTACCATTCCATTCTCAGAAATAATTCCCTCTTTCCCTTCTAGCCACATAGGAACTGCAGTTTTCTGAACATGTAAAGCACGTTCTAGCCCAGGATTCTTGCATTTGTTTTACTGTCTCTCTGGAATGGTTGTTCCCTGAATATCCACATGCTTTACCCTCACTGAAGTCTCTCCAGACCAGCCTAAACAGAAGACCCAAAAAAAATCTACCATCACCCTAAACTCTTAGCTTATTTTATTCTTCTTCACAGCATGTATGCTCATCTGACATGTTTGGTTATTGTTTCATGGCTCATCTTGTCAAACAGAAGGCAAGTTATTTGTCTATTTTATCTGCCAGCTCCTTTCAAACAACTCCATGCCTTCTATTCCCATCTTTCTTGGACTACAAGGAGATCAAACCAGTCAATCCTCAAAGACATCAGTCCTGAATATTCATTGGCAGGACTGATGCTGAAGCTGAAACTCCAATACTTTAGCCACCTGATGTGGAGAACTGACTCACTGGAAAAGACCCTGATGCTGGGAAAGACTGAAGGCGGGAGGAGAAGGGGATGACAGAGGATGAGATGGTTGGATGACATCACCGACTCGATGGACATGAGTCTGAGTAAACTCCAGGAGTTGGCAATGGACAGGGAGGCCTGGCATGCTATACAGTCCGTGGGGTCACAAAGAGTCGGACACAACTGAGCGACTGAACTGAACTGCAGCAATCACCAATCTTCTTAGGTCTGTCTTCCAACCTGCTGTCTCTTTAGTTGATCTAATCTGCTATTTAACTTGTCTACTGAGTTAATGTCAATGACTGCTTCCCAATTCTAGCTATCATAATCTGTTTTCATAATCAGTGTTTATTACCGTAATTCATACCACCAACATTTAAAGTGTACAATAGAAGGTTTTTGGCTATTTCAGAGTTATGCACCTATCACTATTAATTTCAGAATATTTTCACCCCCTCAAAAGAAACCTTGTGCACATCAGCAGTCGCTTCATTTTCTTCCAACTGCCCCAACTCTAGGCAACCACCAATTTACCTTCTGTTTCTACAGGCGTGCCTAGTCTGGACATTTCACACAAATGAAATTATGTAATATGTGGTCCTCTGTGGACGGCTTCTTTCACTTAGCACAGTGTTTTAAAGAGTCATTCAAGCCGCAGCATGTATCAGTTATTTTACGTTATTGTTTATTTTTGGCTACTCTGTGTGGCAGGTAGGATATTAGTTCCCCAACCAGAAATAGAATGCATGCTCCCTTTGGTGCAAGTGTAGGGTCTTAACCACTGAACCACCAGGGAAGTCCCATTTATTTTTATTATTGAAGTATAGTTGATTTACCATGTTGTGTACGCTTTAGGTGTACCGCAAAGTGACTCAGATATACATACAGTTTCCTCAGTTTTTTTCTTTTTATATCTGCCTTTTTTCCTTAACCTTCCCTCTAAAACATTATTGATTCCTTCTTTTATATCAGTGTCAGCAAGTTTTTTTTCCTGTACAGGGTCATATAGTAAACCTCTCAAGACTGTGTGGTACACACTTTGTCCCAACTATTCAAGTCTACTGCTGAAGCAGAGAAGCAACCACAGCCAAACATGAGTGCATGAGCACTGCCATGTTCCAACAAACCTTTATTTTGCCTTCAGGTCATAGTCTGCCAACCCATTTATACCTTTAGTCATCTAAGAATTCTTACTTTATAGCATCAACCAAAACCTTCTGTTAACTGGTATTTTTAGTGTGCTCATCTTGTTCATCATGTCTTCTGACTCACTCAAACAGAAAACGTTCCCTTATTTAAAAACATTTTTTATGGTGAGTTCATCTTAGGTAGAGTTAGGTCTATGGGAAGTCTGTATGGCTTGGACGGAAGGTTAATTATTACCAAGAGCTTTGTATTTTCTCCTTAAAAGCATCCTAGGAAAAAGCAGCAGTCCCAAAGTACTTCTTAATGTTTTCCTCGGTTTGGGGTTTCCTGTATGCATGATGCCCAAATACAAGGGAGAAGTCTATAGCCTATAAATTCCCCTATGAGGCTAGTTTTGTTCAACTGAGAGCTCAGCCTAAGATGGACAAACTTGCATGTCACCTCTCTTGCCAGTGGGCAGTTTTCTCCCTGGTCCACCCTCTTTCCCTGAGGGTGTAGCTTTGATCTTGCCTTCAGTTTTAAGTCACAGCCTCCTGTGGGCTAAATGCCTTCTCTCTTAAAACGAGGACTGGTATTCAACCAAGGTTACAGAAACTTCTAAGGCCTTCTAAGCCTTCCCACCCCCAGAACACTTACACCATAGTTCATGCCTACCCTTTTTGGGTTTTAGTCCATTATTGGCCCTTGAGGATTTCCTCTTTCTCTAACAAGCTCAGTTATGCATTAAAAAAAGATGACTGTCAATATTATTCAGTATTTCTGCATGTTATGAGCAAGTTTGTACACTACTGTATTAGTCAAGGAAAAATTACTGAAGGAGATACTTAAAAAAAGACATTCTATATGATGATATAAAGGTCTCAATGTGAAACCACGTAAGATCTAAATGAACGGCTTATAAATTGGGATGATTTTAAATGACTTCAACAACAGTTTAGGGATCTTGTTGAAGTTCCAGGAGGACAACTTTAATCCATTAATTTATACATTAAATAGTACTGTGTTAGGGAAAAAGCAAAACAAAACGAAAGAGCAGTAGAATTTAACTCCTCATGAAAAGGAAAGTAGAACTTACAGTGCGTTGTCAAATTTCCCAGAGCTGTACTGGTGAACATAAGACGAATACGCCAAGTCTTCATGAGCTGTTGCTACGTGAATATTTTTGCCACCGAACACTGACTGCCGAATGTCAAGGGCTGCCTGAAAGAGTCAAGAAAACAACTGATAATACTGTGAATCCTTAGAAAACACTACCTAGTTAAATTAAGCATTCTAGTGACTTAAATATATTTTTTATATACTCAACCCCATCAGTTCTTGAAAAAAGTTCTGCTGTATTTAGATCACGTGTGTGGTTAGTGGCTTCAGTCGTGTCTGACTCTCTGTGACCCCATGGACCGTGGCCTGCTAGGCTTCCCTGTCCATGGGATTCTCCAGGCAAGAATACTGGAGTGGGCTGACATTTCCTTTTCCAAATTTAGATCACAACAGAACATAAAAGTCCCCATGGCTTGATTTTCTAAAGAGTAAGTCTGAATTAAAAGGCAATGGCTTAATAATAAAAGTCATTCACATGTCTTAGGAATTACATTAGTTTTTTTCTCCATATCGTCTTAAGAAATAAACTATAAAATCAGGGATACCTTGCCCAGAGTGATGGCATAACAAATCATGTACCTAAGATTGACTAAGGCCTAAAATAACTGTTATCTACCCTCCTTGCTACTACAAAGGCAGCTATAATGATTTGTGCTAAAGTAACAACAAAGACATCTGGGTAAATGAAAAAATTGAAAACTACTCTTAAATACTGACCCACAACTCCAAACTTTTTCCCTAGATAAGTCTCTTTAATTCCTAAAACAGTAAGTTTTAAGAAGTTTTACTTCTTTAATTCCTAAAGAAGTTAAGTTTTACTTCTGTTATTATTTAGTAAAATAATGGTGTGCCATACATGAGGAAGGGCTCTAAAAGAGTTATTTTTAGAGTAGTTTATATACCATAAACAAACTATACGTCAGCAAGTCAATTTAGGTTGAAAGAAAAAGTGTAACTATTAACATACCTGATAAATTGCAACAGACTGACAGATATTATCTACATTGAGTAAGTAGAACCCATAATCTAGCAGTGTATCAGAGTATTTTGGGTGTTTGGATCCAAAATGATCCCTATAAAAAGATACAAAACTATTAGGATATAAAGTAGAGAGAGACAATTTTAAATGCTATTTTTAATAACAATCACCTACCGTGCCAAATACACTGCATGTTTAATTAACTGCTCTGCTTTCTTAAATTCACGTTTTACAACACAAGCCTAAAGATGAAATGAAAAATTGTTAAATAACTCACAGTTAATGAATGTGTTAAAACAAATATGATTAAATAATCAAACTATAATGGTTGAAAAGAAAAAAACATCTTCAAACATAAATAGAATGCATCTATTTGTAATTTCTTTCCCTCCAAGTATTTGAAAATCCCATTATAAACAGATGTGTACATATCCTGGTAATAATAAAATTTAAAAATTTCAGTCATGCCCAGAACTAAATTGTTATAACAAAATTATCTTAAAAAGCTCATATATTCTCATTCTTACATGTTATTAAAATAGTTGGGGGGGGGTTGCTTGTATATTTTTGAGATTAATTCTTTGTCAGTTGCTTCATTTGCTATTATTTTCTCCCATTCTGAAGGTCATCTTTTCACCTTGCTTATAGTTTCCTTTGTTGTGCAAAAACTTTTAAATTTAATTAGGTCCCATTTGTTTATTTTTGCTTTTATTTTCATTACTCTGGGAGGTGGGTCATAGAGGATCTGGCTGTGATTTACGTCAGAGTGTTTTGCCTATGTTTTCCTCTAGGAGTTCTATAGTTTCTGGTCTTACATTTAGATCTTTAATCCATTTTGAGTTTATTTTTGTGTATGGCATTAGAAAGTGTTCTAGTTTCATTCTTTTACAAGTGGTTGACCAGTTTTCCCAGCACCATTTGTTAAAGAGACTGTCCTTTCTGTGTTGTATATTCTTGCTTCCTTTGTCAAAGATAAGGTGTCCATAGGTGCATGGATTTATCTCTGGGCTTTCTATTTTGTTCCACTGATCTATGTTTCTGTCTTTGTGCCAGTACCATACTGTCTTGATGACTGTAGCTTTGTAGTATAGGGAAAAAAAAAACTAAATGAAATATATTGCTTAGCTCTACTAAGCAATGTCCTGGGAGTTTTAACATGCTCTGCTTCATTTAACTGAAAGGAAGAAATCTACAAGTAAGGTCTCTTCAAAATTCCCATTTTAAAGAGGTGAGGCACAGAGACATTAATGAAGTTAATAGTACTTCAAAGAGATGCTTTATGGTGAGCATATTTATCTATACTTAGAAAACTTCATGGGAAAGGGCATTTTCCACCTAGATTGTTGTGGGACAAACCTGCTTTCAATTCTATTAAAAAAAATTAAATGTTATTTACATCTAAAAATAAATAAATAGTGGGGGTGGGGAGTGGGGGAGAGGGTTCACCATTATTTCCTAAAGTACTTATTTATATCCCAGTGGCCTAAAACTATTTTGTAGTTTTCCATCTAATAATCTTAAAATGTACATAATTCCAAGTATTCTTATTAACTTCTTAAAATGTTCTGATTCATGAGAAAGTCAGTAGACTTTAACCCTCTAAGTAACATTTAAATACAGAAATATAAATCTTGCACATAAATTAAGCTGTCTTTATACTAAACGCATATTCAACATTTTAAATTAAAAAACATATTACTGTCTCTTCTAGCTCTAATGACTACCTGAATATTTATGCTATTTACTTGCTCTAAAATGACTTAATAAATTTTACAGAAATCTTAGACCCTTCTAAATCTGTCATTTTAGAAAAATTCTGCTAACTGAAATTTCCATAAGTAAAACCAGCCAAAGTGGAATATTCAAAACTGAAAACCTCTGGGAAATACTATATCTGAAAATTATATCAATGCTTTAAAGCTTCAGTTTACTAAAGCAGCAATTTAAAAATATTATTAAATGACTTCAAAGACTTAATTCATTTTTTTTTTTAACCCAGTAAGAAGAAACATCAAGTAAGTATTGCCCATCAGGTCAAGAACAGAAAGCTATCACACTGTGAGACTGCAATACTGTGACTGAAAGATTTAATAATAGGCTATCCTTTAGGAGAAAAGTGACCAAAGTCCGTACAATCATGGCATAATGAATTCAGGCTGCTGTAAAGGTTTAAGCAGCAGCCCGATTCCTGAAAATGAGCAGAAATTTTTAGAAAATAGATGTTGGTATCCATGAGTATGCAACATCCTAGTTTTTAAACAGCAGGTGGTGGTAGTTACTGTTCAGTCACTCAGTTGTGTCTGACTCTTGGCGACCCCATGGACTACAGCCCACCAAGCTCCTCTGTCCCTGGGATTCTCCAGGCAAAAATACTGGAGTGGGCTGCCATTTCTTTCTCCAAAAGATCTTCCCAGATCAGGGGTTGAATCCGTGTCTCCTGCACTGGCAGGCAGAGAGCCACCAGGGAAGCCCCCAAACAGTAGGTTAATTAACACAAATCTGAAGCTTATTAAACTATAATCCATTTAATAATTTTAACATTGCATTTACCTTAGAGGCTTGTCTTAAAACATCCACCACGACTTTGACTGGTAAGCTTGTTGTGATTTCTTTCATTGCCTCAATGCACCATTTGTATGCCTAAAAAAATTTATAGAAGAGCAAAGCCTGTGATGTATCAAATTGACAGTATTCAATGAAATGCTTAAGATTTTTTCCTGCAAGCTTTCAAGTACCTGAATAAGAAGACACACAAAATATTTACACTTAAAATTTCCTCTCAGAGGCCGGGTTTTCTTAAAAGTATGCTTGTGACATTTTTCTTTGGATATGTGACACATGTTCAGGACATCAGAAGCATGTTCTCTCTGTCCCAGAGCCTCTGCACATACCATTTCCTCTGCCTTACAACACATTCCCCTCCTTCCTCCAAGCCCCTAACCCACCTAAGCTGTCCTTCAGGTGTCAGCTCTGGACAAGGTCTCCTGTCCTTTCCTCCCTCTACCGTAACACTTCTTTGTTATATCGTTTCACTGTAATCGCCTGTGTAGGCGAGTGCTCACTTTGTGCGAGCTACTGTTCTAAGCATCTTATGAGCAGTAGTACAGTTAACCAACACAACACCTCTTTGAGACAGTACCACGCAATGTGCTGGTACCTAGGTATCTAGTAGGGAACAAAAATAAAATGTCGTTCATCTCCTAGTGCTTAGTAGGGTGGAGGGTGGGGAAGCAAAATAAATTATTCTGGATAGTAAGAACTGCTTCAAGGAAACAAAAAGTATTACAACAGGATCACAAAAATGTGGGGAAAACCACCTGAAAATTAGAAAGTAAATATTTGTTTTCTTCTATAAGCTTCCACCTCTTTCATTCAACCTAAAAGATGTTAACTATTCAGAAGCAATTTTGATGCAAAAATGAAACAGGAAAAAATATGCAAAAATGATTTGGGTTAAAAAAACCTGGTTTGTAAGAAGAATGCTCAAACTACTGCACAATTGCACTCATCTCACACGCTAGTAAAGTAATGCTCAAAATTCTCCAAGCCAGGCTTCAGCAATACGTGAACCATGAACTGCCAGATATTCAACCTGGTTTTAGAAAAGGCAGAGGATCCAGAGATCAAATTGCCAACATCCGCTGGATCATCGAAAAAGAGAGTTCCAGAAAAACATCTATTTCTGCTTTACTGATTGTGCCAAAGCCTTTGACTGTGTGGATCACAATAAACTGTGGAAAATTCTGAAAGAGATGGAATACCAGACCACCTGACCCACCTCTTGAGAAACCTGTATGCAGGTCAGGAAGCAACAGTTAGAACTGGACATGGAACAACAGACTGGTTCCAAATAGGAAAAGGAGTACATGATGGCTGTATATTGTCACCCTGCTTACTTAACTTACATGCAGAGTACATCATGAGAAACGCTGGGCTGGAAGAAGCATAAGCTGGAATCAAGATTGCTGGGAGAAATATCAATAATCTAAGATATACAGATGACACCACCCTTATGGCAGAAAGTGAAAAGGAAGTAAAAAGCCTCTTGATGAAAGTGAAAGAGGAGAGTGAAAAAGTCGGCTTACAGCTCAACATTCAGAAAACTAAGATCATGGCATCCGGTCCCATCACTTCATGGCAGACAGATAGGGAAACAGTGGCTGACTTTATTTTTCTGGGCTCCAAAATCACTGCAGATGGTGATTGCAGCCATGAAATTAAAAGATGCTTACTCCTTGAAAGGAAAGTTATGACCAACCTAGATAGCATATTAAAAAGCAGAGACATTACTTTGCCAACAAAGGTCCGTCTAGTCAAGGCTATGGTTTTTCCAGTGGTCATGTATGGATGTGAGAGTTGGGACTGTGAAGAAAGCTGAGCGCCAAAAACTTGATGCTTTGAACTGTGGTGTTGGAGAAGATGCTTGAGAGTTCCTTGGACTGCAAGGAGATACAACCAGTCCATCCTGAAGGAGATCAGTCCTGGGTGTTCATTGGAAGGACTGAAGCTGAAGCTGAAACTCCAATACTTTGGCCACCTTATGCAAGGAACTGACTCACTGGAAAAGACCCTGATGCTGGGAGGGATTGGGGGCAGGAGGAAGAGGGGACGACAGAGGATGAGATGGCTGGATGGCATCACCGACTCAACGGACATGAGTTTGAGTAAACTTTGGGAGTTGGAGATGGACAGGGAGGCCTGGCATGCTGCGATTCATGGGGTCGCAAAGTTGAACTGAACTAAGCTGATTTTGCCCCAGTAAGAACATAAAATCTGTGGTAAACTGTAATACTGATTTTAAAATATTTACTGCCCCTCCTTGATGAAAGATAAACTTCCCTTTCACATTAAAGATTTCCGTTAGCCAAAATATTAATTAAAATATAAGCAGAGTTCATGTGAACTGTGCCGTTTCTGGGAGAAAGCTTCAAGAACCAGTAATTCCTTCCCCATACTGTTTTTTGCCTTTGCTCCAATGCTTGCTCCAATGCTGGTAATGTTCTAGACAGAGGTTGCTCCACAACATGCGGGTTTTGATCAACATATAGATATGTGAAGCAGAGTCACAGAGGGACCAAGCAGGAAGCAACATGAGCAAGAAATCAACTGTTATTATTCCAAGTCAGTGATGTTTGGAAGTTGATATTATCTTGGTATATCCTAGACTATATGGATTAAGAGCAGAATATGGTGATAATTCATCAAACTGTAGCCTCAAGATTTGTGTACTTTTCTGTAGGTATCAATGACAAATTTATAAACTATCAAAATTATACAAGAAACATTTCTATAGACTTAAATGTTCCTCATGAATGTGCAGCGAATTCCAAAGACCATGGATAAAATATAGTATGTTGTTGTTGGTTGTCATTTAGTCGCTAAGTCATGTCTGATTCTTTTGTGGCCCCACAAATGGTAGCCCACTAGGTTCCTCTGTTTATGGTATTTTCCAGGTAAGAATACTGGGGTGGGTTGCCATTTCCTTCTCCAGTATAACACCTCCCAATTCAAATGTTCAGAAAGAAAATAACTGTCTCTTAAACAGTAACTGCTGGTAAATAAAGTGGAAACCGGTGAATAAAAGATATTTTTGTTCTACTGAATGCACTGGTGAGTCTGGACAGAAGAAGATGGGCCTGGAGATGAGAACAGGAGTAAAAAATGGCAAGACAGGATTCACTTTACAGAACAGAAAGAAGGATGCAGGGGAGTATGAGAAACAAAGATGAAAAGAAACAATGAAAGAGCAATCAGAGATGGCCAAGATGAGGACATATGTGGAGAGATAAAAAGATGATCCATGGGGCACCTAAAGAACTTCTTTTTTTAAGCAATGCCTCGTGGCTTGCAGGATCTTAGTTCCCCCACCAGGGACTGAACTTGGGTCCTCTGCAGTGGAAATGCCAAAGTTCTAACCACCAGACCGCCAGGGAATTCCCAGAAGAACTTTTAAGGCAGGCAAATACCATTGCTGTTTACTTCATTTGCATTTCCATAAAGGCTGTCCACACAAAGGCCTTTTGTGAATGTGGTTATTTGTTTTTGGTGTGTAAAATAACAGAAAGGGGCCAAATTCTGTATCTGGATTGACAAGCTTTGGAAGTTACTGCATAAAACGGGCAGCAAAACAATCCATTGACAGAACTAATTTAGCAGACACAACAATTCAGCATCAAAAAGAACCAGAAAAATATATATAAACCTCCTGAGAAAACTCAGGCATGCTGATTAGGATTTTAGATTTTACAAATAAGCTTGATGACTAAAAAATGTTTCCCCCCAACTTTACTGAAGTATAACTGACAAATAAAAACTATATATTTAAGGTGTACAAGATTTGATATACATATACATTGTGAAATAAGTATCACAATCAATCTAATTAAGACATGCATCACCTCAGTGTTCTTTCTTGGTGTTTGATGAGCACATTTAAGAGGTATTCTTAGCAAACTTCAAATATACATATAGTATTAACTACAGTCACCATGTTATAATTAGATCCTCAGAACTTACTCATCTCAGAATGAAATATGAAACTTTGAAAAACAGTTAATGTAAACAATGAGGCATGCCTCTTAGGACAGCCAAAATCTACACCACTGACAACATGAAACGCTGGCAAGGGCGTGGAGTAACAGGAGCTCCTTCCTGGTGGGTTGAACGTATGCTGGTAGAGACAATCCGACAGTTTCTTAAAAAACTTAACAAACTCTCAGCATACACTTCAACAAAAGCATTCTTTGATAATGCCTTCTTTGACAAATATTAAGAGCAGGATGGTCCTAGCTTTGGGGTTGTAAACATCACTGTATAATTATTCTAGAATTCTCTAATTTCACTTCTAATGGTAACTTTCCTTTAAATATGGAACATATACATATACATTTACACTTCAGGGCAAAAATTGACATTAGGGCAATTTTAAAATATTAAAGCTAAATGATAGCTATCGGACAGTGCAAAATAATTATGATATTCTTCCATAAATAAAGTAACCTTGTAAAAGAGCCCACACAGCTCACTTTTCAACTATGTATTCATTAGCACCAAAATAAAGCCAAAATGGAGGCTACTACTTTCTGATAACTCAGAGATAGAAGCAAAACAATGCAATTAAAGTATAAATAAAAACTATGTTCCCAATGAAATGAATGCCTTCAAGTTACAAGAGTTCACCCAGAGCTACACAATCAATAAAAAAGCACCCACTAAAGGTTCATTTAACAGAGCATGATGTCAAAATAATTTAGTCAGAAGTACGTTTGGTCAAATTAAAAACAAATGTGAAATTGTACACGTGAATGTTTAAAATCCATCTCACAGAATACTCCTTCTGCCTATTTAAAATATTCCACTACAAATGTATATTGCTTTAAGTAAACCCAGTATGTGAAAATGAGATCTATTAAGACAAATGAGATTTTATGACTTATTTTCAGTTTAATAGATACTTACTGGTTATAATGAAATATAATTCAAAACACTCACCTCATCATAGTGACTTTTTGCAAACAGGAGTGCACACAGTTCTCCATAGAGTGCAGCTTTGTTTGCTTGCTGGCCATGTTTTGAGAGTTTATCCATATATGTCTGAGCTAACTTAAACGTTTCTTCACCCAAATGGTACTTGCAGTTTCCATTTCGCACGTGAAGCAATCTGCAATTGCACAAATAACATGAGCCTATTTCTGATAGCTATTTTCTGTATGGCAGACTTGGTAACCTCTTACAGATGGCTACATAGCACCCAAAGGAGTTAAGGTCCCCAGACAGAAGAAAGAGGCAGTACTGGAAAATAACTGTCCGGCCCAGGCTGGGACTTTCTAATACCCAGAAAGAAGTATATGTTCATCCCGGAAAGCTACCGATGGTTAATCTGATCCAACGCTATTCCTTCTCCCCTCTAAACGTTTTGTATGCTATGTGCACTCATCATGTACTACATGTATTACTTAAGTCTCTTTGTTCCAGATCCCAAAGTAATACAGTTTTATTGTAAGAAATTTGGAAAATAATGAAGACAATAAAGATCAACATGAAATGCTATTACCTATCATTACTTTCCATTCTTTTTTCTAGTATATTCTGCAACCTTTGATTGGTTGCTGTTCATTTTATGTTGCTTTATAAAAATGCTTAATTCAATTATCTTTCCAATAAGACAAGTTCACTGAAAACTGTGGTACTGCCAGTTCTTTCTTTTATAACCTTTATCCTCTATGGTGGAAAAATACAGAATTCTTTACACACAAGTATCTGCAAAACCATGCTGATTGTCTAGTGATATGTAAGAGTAGTAAAATGCTTTAGGTCAGACTGAGGTCAAGATAGCAACAGGCTATACATCTGTACGGACCATATATGAGACAGAACACTGTGAGGACCTGACGTATATTTAAGAATCTATTATGATGTTGGCTAAAACATTATGTCCATATATCATGCCAATATAATTTTATGAAAATGCTCAGCTCTGAGTGGGAACACGGTGTAAACATCATTTAAAAGAAAACCAAGTGGAAAATAAAAAAAATGAATGAAAACCAAGCATTAAAAAAAAAGGAAAAGGAAACCAAGTATGGATAGGTTAGGAAGCACTCTTCAGTGCTAAATGAAACCCAGACACTTGATATCTAATTTTTATATCTATTCCAAAAACACTAACAGATCAGTGACCCAAGATGACAAAGATGGTGAGTCTTCTAATCTCTAGCTTTCTGTTATATAGACAGGAAAAAAGAGAGTAATTTTATTACTGTTTTTTAACAAAGTGAAGTATAGTTGATTTACTATTTTAATATAATTCCCTATGCTATACAGTAAGACCTGTTGTTTTGCACTCTATATATATCACTTTGCATCTGCCAATCCCAAACTCCCAATTCATCCCTCTCCCTCCCCCTAGGATATCACCAATCTATTCTAAAAGAGAGTTTGATGCCTGGTCAGGGAACTACATCCCATATGCTGCAAAGAAAGATCTGACATGACACAAGTAAGACCCAGCATGGCCAAAAATAAAGAGAGAAATTCTAAATCGTCAGGATTATTCAAAAAGGTGGAACACTACACAATGTACATCCTTCCAAAACTCACCATACAATTAACTGCTTTTAGAAAAGACTAAAACCCTCATATAAAACAACACAGTATACCACCCTAATGGCAGAAAACAAAGAGGAACCAAACAGCCTCTTGATGAGGGTTAAGGAGGAAAGTGAAAAAGCTGGCTTTAAAACTCAACATTCAAAAAACTAAATCACAGCATTCAGTCCCATCACTTCCTGGCAAACAGATGGGGGACAAGTGGAAACAGTGATAGATTTTATTTTCTTGTGCTCCAAAATCACTGTGACTATAGCCACAAAATTAAAAGATAATTGCTCCTTGGAAGAAAACCTATGACAAACCTAGACAGTGTATCAAAAAGCAGAGACATCACTTTGCTGACAAAGGTGTATATGTATAGTCAAAGCTATGGTTTTTCCAGTAGTTGTGTATGGATGTGAGACTTGGACCATAAGGAAAGCTGAGTGCTGAAGAACTGATGCTTTTGAACTGTGATGGTGGAGAAGACTCTTGAGAGTCCCTTAGACCGCAAAGAGATCGAACAAGTCAATCCTAAAAGAAATCAACCCTGAATATTCATTGTTAGGACTGATGCTAAAGCTGAAGCTCCAATACTTTGGCCACCTGATACCAAGAGTCAAATAAGACCCTGATATGGGGAAAGATTGAGAGCAAGAGGAGAAAGGGGTGGCAGAGAATGAGATGGTTAAAAAGCATCAATGACCCAATGGACATGAGTTTGAGCAAACTCTGGGAGATAGTGAGGGACAGGGAGGCCTGACCTGCTGCAGTTCATGGGGTCGCAGAGACAGTGACGACTAAGCAACTGAACAACAGCAACAAGGTTAATCAAACATTCTGAATGAAGTGTCTTTCATGATACCAGATGTCTTTTTCTTTTCTTCCCCATTTATGTATCTTAGTATTTATTTGGCTGAACAGGTCTGACTTGCAGTATGTGGTATGTTTACTTGTGGCGTGCAGGATCTTTTTTTTCTCTTAGCTGTAGTGTGCAGGATCCAGCACCCTGACCAAGGACCGAACCTGGGCCTCCTGCACTGGAAGCATGGAGTCTTACCCACTGATCACCAGAGAAACCCCCAAATTTCAACCTAAAGAAAAAAATATATGTAATTATCAGGCTATTCTAGAATGGTGAGTTGATTAGATTTATACTTTAAAGCAGAAATATAAAAGTAGAAAAAAAATATGTTTTGTTATACAGACTTTTCATGCTAAAGTAATACAGAGTAAAGAGACAGTGTCACTTGACAAATTGCTTATTGAATAACCCAGAGTTTGCAATGATCCCTGCCACAATGAAAAAAAAAGTGAAATTCAGTAAAGAGAGAAAGAATCTATGATCATCAAGAGCTTCATTCTAACTAGGCAATATATAATGGGAAAGACAGCCTCTTCGATAAATGGTGTTGAGAAAATTGGACAGCAACACACAAAAGAATCAAACTGGACTACTTGCTCACACTACACACAAAACTAAATTAAAAATAGATTAAAGGCATCAGTGTAAGACCTGAAACCATAAAACTTCTAGAAGAAAACATAGGTAGTAAGCTCTTTAACATCAATCTTGGTAACTTTTTTTAATATGTCTCCTCAGGCAAGGGAAACAAAAGCACAAGTAAATACATGGGAACACATCAAACTAAAAAGCTTTTTTGCACAGAAAGGAAAACTATCAAAAAACCAATTCAGGTCACCTACTGAATTGGAGACTGTTTGCTTGCAAACAATGTATCTGATTGGGGGTTAATATCCAAAATATACAAAGAATCCACACATCACCACCAAAACAAAGAACATGATTTAAAAATGTACAGAAGTTCCTGGGTATTTACCCAAACAAAAACATTAATTAGAAAAGAGGTGTGCATGCCTATGCTCACTGCAGCATTATTTACAATAGCCAAAATATGGGCACTACCTAAGCGCCCATCAATAGATGAATGGATAAAGAAGACGTGGTATATATACACAATGGAGTATTAGTCATAAAAAGGAATGAAACCTTGCCATCTACAATAACATGGATGGACCTAGAGGGTATTATGTTAAGTGAAATGAGTCAGAGTGAAAGACAAATACTGAATGACTTCACTTATACTTGTAATCTAAAAAACAAATGAAAAAATAAAAAATAAAAATAAAAAACAAATGAACATCACAAACAGAAACAGAGTTACACAGAGAATAAACAGGTGGTTGCCAGAAGGGAATGGGGTACAGAAAGAAACAGGTGAAGGAGGTTGAGAGGTACAAACTTCTCGCTGCAAAAGAGTCACAGGTATGTCATGTGCAATATGGAGAATACTGTCAATAAGTTTGTAATATTTGTAATGTGTATGGTGACATGTTATAACTAGACTTATCTGGTGATCATTTTGAATTATATAGAAATATTGAATCACTAAGTTGTGTTAACAGAACTAACATAGTATTGTGGATCAATTATACATTAAAAACAAACCCATGGAAAAAGAGATCAGCTTTGCGATTAGCAAAGGTGGAAAGTTGGGGAAGAGGAAGTGGATGAAGGCAGATAAAAGAAACACATTTCCAGTCATAAGATAAGTATGAGGGATGTTAATTTATAACATGATAAAAGAACATTACTGTATGTTAAACATATAATAGTTGTTAAGTGTCAATCCCAAGAATTTTCATCACGAGGAAAAATTTTTTTGTTATTTCTTTAATATTGAACCTACATGAGGTAACAGATGCTCCTTAAACTTGTGATAATCACTTCACAATGTAGCTAAGTCAAACCACTGTGTTGCACACCATCTTGAATGTACACAGTACTGTATGTCAGTTACATCTTAGGAAAACTGGACGGGAAAGAACTTCATTCTAGCGGGGAATGGTGTATTAACGTAGGCAGACAGACCGCAATAACTAAGACATTTAAAGATAAATGCTATGAAGATGATAAAACAATAGGGTTATATGATCAAAACCTTCTTAAAGGAGGGGCTTAGGGCAGACAGAATTCTCTTCTGTCTATAGAAGTAACATCTGAGCTGACACTTAAATGTAAGAGGTAATCATGTGCAGATATTGGGAAACATGTTCCAAACAAGTGCAAAGGCCCTGAGAAAGGAAAAATAATTCTTTTTTTTTGGGGGGGTGGGGGGGAATAATTCTGTCATAATCAAAGAATAGTAAGAAAGCCAACACACCTGGAATATCATGAATAATGGATTATGTGAAGAGAGAAAGCAGAGAAAAGTGAAAGTGAAAGTTGCTCAGTCCTGTCTGATTCTTTGCGACCCCAGGGACTACATGGTCCATGGAATTCTCCAGGCCAGAATACTGGAGTGGGTAAGACTTTTCCTTCTCCAGGGGATCTTCCCTACCCAGGCATTGAACCCAGGTCTCCCGCATTGCAGGTGGATTCTTCACCAGCTGAGCCACAAGAGATGCCCAAGAATACTGGAGTGGGTAGCCTATCCCTTCTCCAGCAGGTCTTCCTGATCCAGGAATCAAACCAGGGCCTCCTGCATTGCAGGTGGATTCTTTACCAACTGAGCTATCAGGGAAGTCCAAAGTAGAGAAATGAAAGAT